TTATTGTCCAAACAAATAAATTGTTCTTGACTCGCATGCACCGAACAAACTAAAATAGTTTTCGATGAAGTAAATGTCATTATCGAATTATGATGTGATTTTGATAAGCTAATCGTAATTACGAAACTATATTACAGATAATTACGGAAAAACACGTACTTATAAATAAACTTGGAGATTATTTACCCCACGCGACCGGTGACGGGATAATAGTAACATAAACAAAAGGTATATCATATTAAAAAAATTATTCATATATAATAATAGTAATATTGCAATAATTATTATATAAYTTTGTTATAAAAATAAAATCRTGTAGCCAATCTATGAACAGGTATTAATATACGCGGTGGATAAAAATAATTCCCAAAATATATTATTATTTCATAAATATCTGTGCAAGAAAAACGCATTCATTTTTCGTGTTATATGTTTATAGTACTATAAATTACATTGCCTGGCTTTATGTCATATTAATATGAGAATCATAATGCAGTTTCCCTATACCTATAAACTTATTCCTCTCAAGATAACTCACCGCTCTTCCACCAAAATGGAACCAACGGCCACTGAATTAAAGTATCACTTCTAATAGAAAAAGGTTTGATTAGACTCTGAATTTATTTCTTATCGATCCTAAGCTACCATTATTATTATTATTATTATTATTATTATGTATCTAAGGCATACATTTTCAATTAGTTATTTAATGCCTAGAAGGCATTAAGAAATAGATTTATACCTGAAAACATTAATTCCYTCTCTTTCCTATCTTAAATTTATTTTAAAGTACCTGCTCGTTTCATAAGATTTATTCCTATTGTCATTCATTTTTAAATTACTAAATAGGTAAAGTATAAATATATAATTAATCCAATCGATTAGATAATTCGTTTGACCAATAAACGCAGTGCATTATTCAGATCATAACGAATAAATGTACGAATTGTATAATTTACACATTTATATCTGTGAATTATCCACAATTATTATTTTTTCTTCAAATTGTGTCTACTATCGTACATGTTTAATAATATAATCAATAATCAATGTAAAATTATATTAAAGGTATGGAGTATGTGTTTTTGCAGGCGTATACCTAGCAGCAGGGGCGAACGCCAGTGGTGGTGCATTGCCGTCGCCACTATCATCCGGTGGTCGGAACCACCCGCTGCGCAGCGAGAGCCGATCGTACGCGTCCTGTGACCTGGATCCCGTCATGGAAGAGCGGAGCGAGATGGACAGCAGCTGTGGTGGAGCTACTGGTAGTGGACCATTGGCCGGATCAGGGACTGTGGCCGATGGTGATGGAGTCGTTGGCGGCGGAGCGGTCGAGGCGCTCGTGTGTCCAGACAGCTAGCAACACGTGCTGGCCATCGCCAGGATATCGGTGGCCGTACAGACGGATAAACCGCCACCCCGACCAGTCAGGTCACCACTGTGGAACACGCTCACCAACAACCCGCCGGACGAGGTAGTCAGCTGACATCCGGCCCGACCTGAACAGCTCAAGGCCATCGCAATTATAGAACCTTGATGGGCCTGACTACGAGATACACTCACCCTATCTCATCAACGGCTCATTCACCAACCGGYAACCGGTAYAGGCGAACATTTTCGCAGCTTTATAAACTTTATTGTACCATCTTGTCATCATGATAATACTATGTTATTATACCACCCGATAAAGATAAGTTCATACGAAAATGCCATATATTATGTACTCGAGCATTGCAATAGTTTGTTTTATAATGTTATGCTCGTATTATGTTCGATCTAGTTTGAGAGACCGTTTAGATATTATCTGGAAAATTAAGTTTGGTGGCGATGTATATATATATATATATATATGTTATTAGTTTATAAAATATTAGTTTAGTTTGTATTTTTTTTAGTTCGTACAATGCTTACCAATCAAATACCTGCAGAACGTTAACTTCTATGAGTTTTTGACGGACTGTTCAACTAAAATATATCCGATCAGACCAGTGAAAACACATACCTTAAAATTCAAATAATCCGGATATTTGTATCTTAAAATAGGTACTTGGACTTTGATGAAATTCACACAATATTCTTCTTTACTAAATCACTATCTCCTCCTCTACTTCTACCTGTATTTCGTTCAAATGGATATCACCAACTCGTGGAAAATTTCAGTTTCAGTCTGATGKGCATAAACTTTAGCTTAACTTTCCAAACAAACAATCTAGACCACACCCACTTATACGAGTATATATATAAATACTTATGCGGGTATGTATGTGAACACAATGTATCTATCACAGCTGTTGAGCTGTACCATACTCTACTTCTACCCTCTACCATGTCAACCCTTAACATGTCGCCATCATCACGTGCCACTTTATACTAATATTCACACACACATAATTACTTTTCAAACTTTTATCGACTGGATACCGAAATCATGTTTGTTTAGGTGACGGTAACGAATCGGATAAATCCTAAAATAAACTTTAAAAACTACATTTTACGATCATCATCCGTTTGGACCAACAAACCAACTTATTGCTCTCTCTTTTGTTATTAAGTGTCACAACGCAGCCTTTGTGACTTGACAGTTGACAGTAGATATATATTTTTGCTTTTATTAGGTAGATAGATACATACATGGAATACCTATATGGTTGTATGTTATATTACTATGTAGGTACTCAATAACTACTCCTGTTTGTAACTTATAGATAGGTAGAATTGAAGCTAGATGATAACTACTTACCACCTAGTATATTCCTTATTTGTTGAATACATTTGTCTAGTGTATATTTTTATCATACTTAATATATGGTAACTATAATAATATATAAATTATTTATATGTCCGCTATTTTTCCAATTATTATTATTTCCACAGGATAATTAGAGACTATATAATAATGATGATAATAATAATTATTATATTAATATGGTTTTCACTAATGCACTTTGATGCGATGTGACTTCGACAGATATTTAACTAGAGTATAATGTAATTAAGATTTTCAACGAAAAAAACGTATCATTACATAATTATAAATTATTATTTAAGATCTTCACAGTTTATGATGTTAATTTTAGTTCATTTACTTTACATTTTTGCGTCACAACCATAGTACCATAGAAACGAGTTCGTTAAATTCCATTTATGACACGTCGTGCATAATTTTTTTTCAGGCACTGAAATTCCTAAAATATTTTTAAAATTATATATCTAAATACAAATTACATATATTTACATGAATTAAAATTTTAAAATTATCGAATACAAAAAAAATTGATTTTTATAAGTAAAAATAAAATACAAGATAATATTATATTTTGAAAAATTAACCAATTTGATATTATATGAATATAATTTAATGTATATTATTAATAATTCAATTAGTTATACAAAATAATAATATTAGATTTAAGTCCTTCAAATAAAAATKAAACCTTAAAAAAATACTAAATTTTCAAAATGTATTACTTTATTGATCGAAATTTAGAAACACCTGTGAATAGCACTTGACCAGTGTAAAAATTGATTATTAATAACAAGATAATATCACTAATAATATTAATTAATTAACCAAAAATGAGTATTATTAAATGTTCATTTGAGTTGTTGTGTTATTAAAAATACCGGATACTCCGCGAGTAAAAATTTAACATTATAAAACATTATTAACATTACAAGATGCTTTACAAAAGTGCTAAAAAATAGGTACTAAATAAGTAAGTACCTATATGATAGGTACAATAAATCGTACTTGATATTTTGAAATACTTGTTGATTGAGTTCGAAGTATTTGAAGAGTATAATAAATTGTATTTCTAACAATATTATTTATTTTCCTGATAACAAATAAAACAAAAAATTTAAGCATGTTAAGATATAACCAAGAAAACACTYAAGATTTCATAATCAATAACTTTTTTTTTTATTATCACTTATAACCTTTTYTTTCGTTTTCGTTAGTATAGAGAACTGGAGGAGAAACCATGGTGCTAGTACTTCTCCTCCGTTTCTCGTCGCTTATTGATAATAATCAATTACACATTACACATTTATGTAGCTGTGACGGGCCAATCGGCCTCCCGTTCTAAGCTATTACAATAGGTAGTTATGTACAATAATACCCGAAGGCTTGCCTTCGGCTACATTTTTAAGAAACTTAAATACGCAATCATTAGTTCGGTAAATCCGGAGRTATTTCTGCGGCCTGACGACGTGGTTCCTTATCCTCCTTTGCAGTAAGGATGTTTTCCACCATTCGTTGAAAATGTTTGAAAACTTCCTCCGCTTCTTTAAGAACCACGTGCTTCTTGGTTGGATCCRGCGGCAGAGTCTTAAACACTGGACCTAGGATCATGTCARGCACGTCGATGGTGCTCGGRCGACGGCCTAGCCCGGAGGTTAGTGCTTCCTGAAATCATTCCCAGAAGACGCACTAAAATAACGTGTGTTCGGTGGTGTAGCGTGTCCATCATCAAGAGAGAATCGTAGGCGCCGTTCTATAAGACTGGGC